TTTCTGTTTTCACTACTTCTGAAGTGTTTGTTGAGTTGGAACAAGTTCTTTGTATTTAATAAATTTGCTTCCTTTGGAATTCTAAACTTAATTGTCACCGTATTGCTTTTATTCAATACTTTCGTGGGTTTTATGTTATAGGTTTTTCACCTGATAAAAATGGTATGAAAATCTGGAAGAAATAAAGAAAACTCATTTCCTGATCATAATTTGTATAGAATAAACCAGAATTAAAGAACATGTTTATGTTAGTGAGTGGAAGATAGGGAGCATAATCAATATGAAGATTATAAAACCATGGAGTCAAAATATGTGAAAATTCATTAATTTTGTTTGGGTAACATAGGTATTCCGAAGCTTTGTGTGTGCTTTTAAGTGGACCTCTCATCTTGAGGGGCAACATAAGCTAGTGCCCAAGAATGAGGATTCTAGAGTTAGATCTCCTTGAGTCTGAATCTTAGCTGTGCTGGGCAAAGGCTGTTTGAATTCCAGCTGTGTGGCTATGGGCAAGTTACTGAACCAATCTGCACCTCCAAGTCCTCAACTTCAGAACTGAGATGATAATAATAGGGTCACTGTGAGGCTCAGTAAGTTAATAAACTAAAAGTGCTCAGTGCATTACCTTATATAAGTGGACAGTAGCTGCACAGTTAGCTATACAATACAGTGAATGTATTTGGAAATAAACCCAGAAGTTTATGACAGATGAGGATGACTAGGCATCCAACAAATGAGAGATCAGCTATTTTGTAGTTTGAGAGATGCAGGCAGCACCTTCTACTAAGGAAAATGCTTAGAAGACACGTGCAGCATCTTGTTGAAATGGGCAGGGATGTATCTCTCAGCCTATGATAAAGCTAATTGTTATTGATTATTTACCAGCCAGCTCTGGGGATGGGTTGGACACAGGTCACTGCAAAAGAGAGAATTTCAATCTAAACTCTATAAACCACCACTTTCACAGTTGCTTCTGTAGGTGGTTGGAACTGTGGAGAGGCTGAGAAAGATCTGAGAGAGGCACAATACTATGTGATCCCCACTCAGTAGTAATAGACCATGTGGCAGCCACAGCCGCAGAGCGTCCGTCCATGCAGCAAGAGACGCTGATGCAAACCTTCTGGCCGTGGTAGTGATGGCAGCCACAAAGCACTGGCAAGTGTAGGGAGAGACTTCATTCCAGTCACAGCCAATCAGGTAAACATAGACGAAATGGGCCCACAAGGCAGGTTGTTACTAAGGCAACTCAAATCTGCTTGCCTGGGAAGAGCTCAATTCATTTGTTTCTGAAGATGAGGGAAACATAGCCATTTCCTGTGCCTTCTAAGCATATGTTCCTTTACTGGGCGTAACTTGTCGGGCAGATACAACTTTGGTAAAAAGTGGCTGTGTATGGGTCTGTGCGCCTGTGGTGTGTGTTCATGGGAGGCGGGTTAGGGGGAAGGCAAGAGAGAGGGACAACATGTTAAGCAAGGAATTCATTTTCCAGTCTACTCTGTTCGTCATTCCAAACCTTAATTCATCCTTTCCATGAAGAGTTTGACCACTCCACTAAGGAGAAATGACCTAAAGAAGAGGCCAGTATCTAATCTAATCCAACATGAAGCACATTTGAGCTCTTTACATTGGGAAACTCTGTGGACTCGGTTGTTAAAGCTTGTTGGTATTTGGATAGGGAATGGTGTGATGGCATAAAGAGACTTGTGAGGCAGTTTAGTGCCGTGGGAAGAGGATGAGATTTGGATTATGACTGGACCTTGTGCAAATCCTAATTCTGCCGTTTATAAGCTGTGTGTCTTGGAACAAAAGGACATTTCTGAGACTCAGTTTCTTCATTGTTAAATGGAGATAGTAACACTTAGTTCACTGCATGATTGTGACAACTAAATGACATCAGGCTCATTAATGCTTCACTCCAGTAAGGCACACGATAAATGCAGTGTCTGCTAAATATCATTTGATACTTCATGTGATATTTTCTTCTTGGGCTTCAATCTCAGTTTATTCTTATGACTGCTTTATACTCCATTTAACTTCTGGGGCAGAGACCGAGAAAAGTCCTCCATTACATGTACACAGGTCATAAGCAGGATGGAACAAGACCCAGATATTCTATGCGGTACTCACTTTCAAAAGAGACAGTATACCTAGCTCTCCATCCCTCAAATGTATGCAGGATCCAGCTGGTGCACGATATAGAACATTCTTCATTGATCAAGAGAAGTCTCCACGCCTGAACAGAAAGGCTCTGATAGGATTTGTGCATTGATACTGCTCACCTTGTTGTTACTGCTGTTGTTGTGCCATCAAGTCAATTCCAACTCCTAGCGACCCCATAGGACAGAGTAGAACTGCCCCACAGGTTTCCTAGGCTAGAATCTTTACAGGAGTAGATCGCCAGGTCTTTTCTCTCGTGGAGCCTCTGGTGGGTTCGAACTGCCTATCTTTTGGTTAGCAGCTGAGCACTCAACCATTGTGCCACCAGGGCTCCTTCTACTCACCCTAAACTCACTGCCATCGAGTCAATTTCAACTCATAGCCACCCCACAGAGTTTCCAAGGCTATAAATCTCTGTGGAAGCAGACTGTCACGTCTTCCTCCTGTGGAGCCACTGGTGGTTTCGAACCACTGACCTTTTGGTTACCAGTTGATTGCTTTAACCACTGGGCCACCAGGGCTCCTCCACTCACCCTAGTGTCTTTAAAACATGGGTATCTTAACCACATGTTTTTCTCATAGAAGTAAAGCATCGTGAGTCCTGAGTTTTTTTTTTTTTTTTGCCTACCTAGTACTGTGCTATGTGCCATAACATAGCTCTTATTAATTGGGTACTTATTTTACCACGCATTTTGGATGTATATATTTTATCATTTTAAGGTCTAACAGCCCAAGGGGATAGATTCTATTTTTTTAATTCTCAGTTTTCCAGTGAGGATTAAGGCACAGATAAGTTAAGTTTGCCTGAGAAGTTACAGATAGTAAATGGCTGAGCCAAAACTTTAATCCAGTAACTTTCACTTCAGAGCTTGAAGTATAATTCCTGACTACCTTGAATACGTAATACCTTTAGTCATTAGAGTAGCTTTGGACTCAGGGGAAATCTGTGTGCTGTATGGAGAATCCGCACAAATACTTTGATTGAAAATGCTTGGTCTGGTTATACTGTATTACTGTAAGTCCATAGAGGAGACAATCAGAGAACTAAGTATAGCTGACAGGATGGCTTATTTGTAACTCAGAAATAAGTGCAAAAAAAAAAAAAAAAAAGGAAATGGGTGTATTTTCATTGGAGTTTGTAAAATAACATACACTTTAAATATCTTGAAAAAGAACAAAAATGGACTCCCAAGTATGTGAAATTGACAAAGTCTAGGTGCCAGGAAAGGCGCTTAAATCGTATGGAGTCAAACGCCTCTAAAATATAAGCTTGATTGTCTTAACGGCATTAGCAATTTCATTTTTCAGACCCCTTGTCTCCATCATATTTTAGTTAAATAACAGTAGTCCCCCCTTATCCACGGGAGATACATTCCAAGACCCCCGTGTATACCTGAAACCACGGATAGTACTGAACCTTACATATACTATGTTTTGACCTATACATACATACCTATGATAAAGTTTAATTTATAAATTAGACACAGTAAGAGATTAACAACAATAACTAATAGAACAATTATAACAATACACTGTAATAAAAGTTTTGTGAATGTGGTCCCCAGGCAGGATGGAATCGGAAGGCTCGAGATTTCACCATGCTGCTCGTTTAAGATTTTCAGACCAGTTGACCACAGGTAACCAAAACCGTGGCAAGTGAAACCGCTGACACTGGGAGCCACTGTAATGCTCCTTTTGAAACTATGACTTCACTGTCGACACTGATGGCACGTGGGGATTGGCATTTTTCCATGTTGGATCAGAGTCACGCCTTTCTTGAAACCAGAATATCCTGCCCTACCTCTGCTTCCCATGTCTACCTCAAGTTGCTGTTACTTTCTCAGCTTGAAATCCCTTCACCTAGGAAGTTGTTCCAAATTCTTTCACTTGGACCAAAGTGGAAATGACGACAATTGATTGAAAGAAATATTTTGTGTGTCTGAATGCTTTTGGTTTTTTAGATTACACTCTGATGTGTAATTTTACTGTTGAGAAAAATCACAAGAAGGAATGAATGAATGAAATAGTTAAGAAAGGAACACCCAACTCAAAGCAAGAGCATCATACTTTTTTAGACAATTAATGATACTATTGGTTATACCAGAGCTATGGCCTTGATAAGGGATAAAATATACTCTAGACAAGAAAGGT